AAGGAGGGCAAGTTCGAAAAGGAACAAAAAAAAAAAAAAAAAAACAGCAACTACCGCCCTTTTGCCGCCACCTCATCCCTCCTCCTCCCTCCTCCTCCCTGCTCCTTCTCCTCCTCCTCGCCCTCTTTCTCCTCCTCCTCCTCCTCTTTCTCCTCCTCCTCCTCCTCTTCTTCGCCAGCTTCGGCCTTTTCCTCCTAGTCCTCCTCCCTCCTCCTCCTCCTCCTCTTCTTCCTCCTCCTCCTCCTCCTCCTCCACCTCCTCCTCCTCATCCTCCTCCAGCAAGTAGTCTTCCTCCTCCTCCTCCTCCTCCTCCTCCTCCTCCCCCTTTGCCCCCTCCCCCTCTTCCTACTCTTCCTCGCCAGCGTTTCCGGTTTAAATCAGCGCAACTGCGGACCATGAAAGTCACAGGAGAAACTCCACACACACTTTTTTCGTTTTTTTTTTCAAGCGGCGGAATCAATTGTCCAAGTCAATCAATCAATCAATCAATCAATCAATCAATCAATCAACAAAAAAACCAAAAAAAAAGTAACTAATCGATTTTGTTATTGCCTATCAATCGATCCGATCCGATCTTGATTTCAAAACAGCCGCCACGTCAGGGAGGGCAAGTTTGAAAAGGCAAAAAAAAAAAAAGAAAACAGCAACTACCGCCCTTTTGCCGCCACCTCATCCCTCCTCCTCCCTCCTCCTCCCTCCTCCTCCCTGCTCCTCCTTTAGAGTCCTCCTCCTCCTCCTCCTCCTCTTTCTCCTCCTTCTCCTCCTCCTCTTTCTCCTCCTCCTCCTCTTCTTCGCCGGCTTCCTCGTCGACTTCGGCCTTTTCCTCCTAGTCCTCCTCTCTCCTCCTCCTCCTCTTCCTCCTCCTCCTCCTCCTCCTCCTGCTCCAGCAACTAGTCTTCCCCCTCCTCCTCCTCCTCCTCCTCCTCTTCCTCCTCTTCCTCCTCCTTCCCCTCCTCCTCCTCCCCCTTCTCCTCGTCCTCCTCCTCTTCCTCCTCTTCCTCGCCAGCGTTTCCGGTTTAAATCAGCGCAACTACGGACCATGAAAGTCACAAGAGAAACTTCAAACGCACTTTTTTCGTTTTTTTTTTCAAGCGGTGGAATCAATCCATCAATAACAAAAAAACAATTAATTTATGGATGATCGAATCGATTGTTCCGATTGGATCTTTAATTTAAGATCCGATCAAATCGATCGATTCAATTGGATTCTTCGAGCCAATCAACCACAATCAATCCATGAATCAATCAATCAATCAATCAATCAAAAAAAAAAAAAAAAAAAAG